TCGTCTGCTCTCTGTAACCTCCTCCTTTGGCCTTTTGTAATGGTCCAATTTAGCAACCCATACAGCGGAAAACACTCTTGATCTAGCCTTTATCAATCTCTGTACCACCTCTAATCTCTCCATTATTTATTTTCCTCTATCTGACCACCATCTGCTGACTTTTGAAATCAGCATACCTTAGACCCAATTGACACCACCGTCTGAACATCAATCTCACAGAAACCTCCAATGTCTTTACCTAGAGCATTTCTCCACTAATCTCCAAACTCCCCTTTTACCTATCTCAAACCTCACCTGTCCTAGCTCTGCAACCTCCTACAATTCCACTCTCTCCTCTCAACTAGACATCATGGTACCTCCTACATTTAAACGAAGCAAACGTCCCCAACAACAACCTTGGCACATCAAGCTGACTCAATACCTCCAAAAATGCTCCAGAACTGCTGAACGCTGTTGGAGAAAGTCTCACTGTGCGTCTGACTTTCTCCACTATAAATTTATGCTGCGCTCATGCAGCTTGGCTCTTTCCTCTGCTAAAGTAAATTACTTCAATACGCTCATAACCATACTCTCCCACGAACCCAAACGACTATTTCACACATTTAACTCTCTTCTTCGCCCTATTGTTCCTCCTCCTCCTACTAACTTGACCGTCTCAGACTTTGCAACTCACTTAACTGACAAGATCTCTACAATCAGGGAAGAGATCTCCTCTCATCTTTCTTCTTCCTCTTACAATACTTCCCCTAACATCACTCCCTCTGCTGTTCTATGTTCATTCGCACCCACTACAGCGGAAGAGGTTTCTGCTCTGCTCCAGTCCTCCCGCCCCACCTGCTCCCTAGATCCAATTCCATCGCATCTCATCCATACTCTCTTTTTCTTTCTCTACCTCTCACTAAAATTCTCAATCTCTCTCTCCTCTGGCATATTTCCATCGCCCTTCAAACATGCAACTGTAACCCCAATTCTAAAGAAACCCAACCTTGACCCTAACTCCCCATCCAGCTACCGTCCTATCTTGCTACTGCCTTTTGCATCCAAGATCCTTGAAAGAGTTGTTTATGCAAGTCAATGGTGCTACCATCAGCTCCACCACGCAGGCTCGCTGCCTGGGTGTTCTCTTTGACTCCGACCTCTCCTTCACGCCTCATGTTCAGTCTATCGCCAAATCCTGTCGCTTCCATCTCAAAAACATTGCGCACATCTGACCCTACATAACGCCAGATATGTACCCTACATAATGCGCTTCTCAATGGTCTTATGTGCTCCCAACTTGCACCGTTACAGTCCATAATGAATGTGGCGTGAGGCTCATCTTTCTGTCCGCCCGCACCTCCCACGCCTCACCCTTCTGTCAGCACTGTTTTTGTGTAACTCACTTTCCTCCTCCGTTAGATGCTCACCTAGTCTCCACTCCTTCAAAAAAATAATTAAAAACCCACTTCTTCATAAAAGCGTATCAATTAAACTGTCAATAGCTCCCGGCTGATTCCTCTCTTGCAACTTTCATTAGTCTAATACTATCCTTACCTTTTGTGTCATTTTACCCCACTCCCTCTAGCATGTAACCACTCCTCACCTGAATTCATTTAACACACTGCATCTTTACAATGGTTTAAACACTTATTGATATTGTTATCGATATTGTGTGTTTGTATATATATATAATACACATTTTCTCTAATGTTCTCCCTTCTATTTTTCACATTAACACTAACTTCTGTCATTACTAAAATATCCCTATCCTTTCACTCACCTGTCCCTGGCAACACCATCATCATTACTTCCACCTTACTCCCCTCCCCTCTCTATTCATCCCATGCACTCTACACATACCTTTCCAGCCTATCTCCACCAACTCTTTCCAAATCCTCCACATACATACCCTCCTACAAAACTTTCAAATACTACTCCCACCTTCACTTCCTTTCTATCCTTCTGCTCCTAGCAGCTGGTGATGTCTCTCCAAACCCCGGTCCCCTCTCAACAAACTCAGCACGTACTAACCCAAGGATCCACACTAATCTCATACCCATCTCTTGTTCCTCTAAATCCCCCTTCAATACTGCCCTCTGGAACGCACGCTCTGTCTGCAATATAACTAAATCCACTGCTGTCCATGACTACTTCATCTCTCATTCAATAGATCTACTAGCCTTAACAGAAACCTGGCTCTCCCCCTCTGACACTGCCACCCCTGCATCTTTGTCCTTCGGTGGTCTCCAACTTACTCACACCCCAAGAAACTCTGAATGTAAAGGTGGTGGTGTTGGGTTTCTCCTCTCCCCTCACTGCTCTTTTAAACCTCTTCCCACCCCCCCTTCCCTCTCTTTCCCATCATTTTAAATACACTCAATTCGCCTTTTCAAACCCTTTGCTGCTAACATTGCTGTTATTTACCGTCCCCCTGGTTCCCCTCTTCTCTTCCTTGACCATTTTGCTGGCTGGCTACCCTATTTCCTCTCTTCTAACATCCCATCCCTAATTCTCGGGGACTTCAATATTCCTATAAACCCACCTTTGACCTCTGCAGCCAATAAACTACTTTCAATTACTTCCTCCCTTGGGCTATCACAGTGGGCAAATTCTCCCACCCATGTAGCTGGCAATACCCTTGACCTAATCTTCACTTATGCATGTACAGTATCTAATATCTGCAACACTCCTTATCCTCTCTCTGATCACCACCTCTTATCGTTTGCTCTCACTTACCCCCTCACCCAACAACCTCTGCCTAACCAGCCTCAACTCAGGAGGGACCTTAATTCTCTTGATCTCCAACAGTTGTCAGCTGACATTGATTCACAACTGCTATCCATCCCTTCCCTATCCTGTCCTTCACTGGCAATCTCCATATATAACTCTACTCTTACATCTGCCTTGAACACTGCAGCACCACTCCAAACAAGCACCTCAAGGAGGACCCGCCCCCAACCATGGCATACTAAATCAACGCGCTACCTGCAAAGATGCTCCCGGTGTGCTGAACGCTCCTGGAGGAAGTCTCGCACCCAGTCAGACTTTCTCCATTATAGATTCATACTGTGTTCATACAGTGCAGCCCTTGCCCTTGCCAAACAGTCCTATTTCTCCTCTCTCATTAGTTCATGTTCCCACAACCCCAGGCGTCTCTTTGACACCTTTAATTCTCTTCTTCGCCCTGCTGTGGCCACCCCCCAAACCAACCTTACTGCTGACAACTTTGCATGTTACTTCACTGACAAAATTGAACAGCTAAGGAAAGAATTCTCCCCTCCTTGCCTTTCTGTTTCTCAATCACACATTGATCATGCCTTTCCTACCCTTCAGACATTCTCCCCAGCCACTGACCAAGAGGTGGCTGCTCTTCTTTGCTCCTCTCGCCCCACCACTTGCCCGCTCGATCCTGTCCCGTCTCACCTTATCAGATCTCTCTCCGCTTGTCTCGTGCCTTCTCTAACACACATCTTCAACTGCTCGCTCTCTTCTGGCATCGTCCCTGCTGACCTTAAGCATGCCACTGTAGTACCTATACTAAAAAAACCATCCCTTGACCCGTCCACCCCCTCTAACTACCGTCCCATATCCCTGCTCCCTTTTTCCTCAAAGCTTCTGGAAAGACTCGTCTTTACCCGTGTGTCTAATTTCCTCAATTCCAACTCTCTTCTTGACCCCCTTCAATCTGGCTTCCGCCCTCTCCACTCTACAGAGACTGCCCTTATCAAAGTCACTAACGACCTAATCGCAGCTAAATCCAAAGGCCACTACTCCATACTAATTCTTCTTGACCTCTCGGCGGCCTTTGACACCGTTGATCATGCTCTCCTTCTTCAAACTCTGCAATCGCTTGGTCTCTGTGACTCTGTCCTCTCGTGGTTTTCCTCTTATCTCTCCCAACGCTCATTCAGTGTGTCTTTTTCTAATGATACCTCCTCCCCTCGCCCTGTCTCGGTTGGAGTCCCCCAAGGCTCCGTCCTTGGTCCCCTTCTATTTTCTCTTTATACTGCCTCTCTTGGCAAACTTATTACCTCATTTGGTTTCCACTACCACCTGTACGCTGATGACACCCAGCTATATCTCTCCTCCCCGGACCTCTCCCCTGCTGTCCTGCAACGTGTCACTGCTTGCCTTTCTTCCATCTCTGACTGGATGTCCTCCCGCTTTCTGAAACTCAATCTCTCAAAAACTGAGCTCCTTGTCTTTCCTCCTCCTAATACTGATCCTCCTCTTTCGCTCTCCCTTCAAGTTTGTGGTACCAACATCAGCGCATCCTTGCAAGCGCGCTGTCTTGGCGTCATACTTGACTCTGGTCTCACCTTTGAGTCTCACATCCAGCATGTTGCCAAATCCTGTAGATTCCATCTCAAAAACATAGCCCGCATCCGCCCCTTTCTTGCACCAGATACTACCAAGGAGCTTGTCCATGCTCTAATAATTTCCCGCATGGATTATTGTAACTCTCTCCTGCTTGGTCTTCCCAAAAGCCGTACTGCACCCCTACAGTCTGTAATGAATGCTGCTGCTAGACTGATTTTCCTCTCTAGTCGTTTCTCCCACACCTCACCCCTCTGCCAGTCCTTACATTGGCTTCCTGTGTGCTATAGGAGTCAATTCAAGGCACTAACTCACACCTATAAAGCACTGAACAACTCTAGCCCCTCCTATATCTCCTCACTGATCCACAGGTATGTCCCTTCTCGGTCTCTCCGCTCTGCCCGTGACCGCCTCCTGTCCGTTGTCCGCACCCGTACGGCCAACTCGCGCTTGCAGGACTTCTCGCGGGCAGCTCCCTTCCTATGGAATAGCCTGCCTACCGCCATCCGACTCTCCCCTAGTCTTGCATCTTTTAAGAAGTGCCTTAAAACCCATCTCTTTAGGAAAGCCTATGGCCTCCAAGACTAACCCCTACCTCACTTACCTGTCTCTTGCCCTCCCCTAAAGGGCAGCCCACTTTTTTTTTTTGATTGCACACTCCTGTCCTAATGTGTCTTACACCCCACCTCCTATAGAATGTAAGCTCGATTGAGCAGGGTACTCTTCAACCTATTGTTCCTGTAAGTTTATTTGTAATTGTCCTATTTATTGTTAAATCCCCTTTCATAATATTGTAAAGCACTACGGAATCTGTTGGCGCTATATAAATGGCAATAATAATAATAATAATAATTAAGCAGGGCCCTCAACCCCTCTGTTCCTGTGTGTCCAACTTGTCTGGTTACAACCACATGTTTTTTCATCCACCCACTGTAAAGATCTGCGGAATTTGTTGGCGCTATATAGATAACATAATAATCCTGGTATAACAAGACGTCCGCACCATGAAAAGAATTTACTAGGAAAGAACCTGATCGTTTGTTATGCCATGCACAGGAATATCAAGAGACATATCTGAGATTTTCGTTGTCTGGGGACATATTATCTGAGAGAGCAAATATGTTAATTTTATAGCATGACAGGAGGCTTCATATTTGCTTAATCCCTTAAGGACACAGCTTCAGAAGCTGGACATACCCTTAAGGACACAAGCAATTTTTTGCGGTTTGTGTTCAAATGCAATTTGCATCTCTCTCATTTATTGTACCAACACATATTATATACCGGTTTTTAGACAACAAAAAGGGCTTTAATTTTTTTTTTTTTTTTTTATTCTTTTATTTTTGTTGTGCATTATGGGTTACAAACATGCCTGTTATGCCACGACAGCAGTCACAGGAATATCAACGTAAACATAGTCATGACAGGTTTAAGCTGCACATTTTTATAAGTAAGTATGCGTACGAATACATGCGATCCATGTTAAATGAAGGCGAGTTGTTGATAGTTATGCTTATTAACAGGTGGTTGTTCTATGCCTGGCACATTTTAGCAATCATTTGACTTAAACAATTATTAAACTTAGGGGAAACCAGCTTAGACTAGTAGTGTTACACATATATCAGAAATACAGTTTTGCTCATACTTAGATTATTAGGTCCATTTCCTGTCCTAGTGCTTGTTAGATATAATATTATCGAGTTAGTGTGTGTCCTAACATAAACAATAGGCAGGCATCATTATAGGGCATAGCAACCGGTCGATGAATTATAATAGCTTAAGAGAAAGAGAAAAATAAACCAGGCTATGGCATATAAAAACAAAGTAATAGGGTTCTGTCAACGGTAATTGCCTCAGGCTAGTTTTAACATGTAACTCGATTGATATGTGATGGAGCCTATACATCAAAATTGCGCCTTGCCAGATGTGGTGCTTCAGTATTTAAGCGTTTAGTTACAAGCACTTCCCTGGACCCAGATTAACTAGCTATGCCTCCCACCTCCCGAGAAAAAGACACAACATTATTAGCTAGTTAAGTGCAGATCCCCGTATTCCTGACTGGTAGCTGGTAAAAACGACTGAGTTACGAAGAACCCCCTTTATGTTGGCAGTCTCTTATATTTAGACAGTTTTTTATGCTTGCCGCTAGTGTTCAAGGTTGCAGTCATGTTCATGTTCCACCTGTTGCTCCGGTAGGAGTAGTAGTGGGGACGTTGGATCATCCAGTGGGTTGTGGAGCATTGTTGTGCCCATTCGCTTGTAGCCTTGTGGATGTTGTCCGCCTGTTGCGCTTTGCGGCTTGGTGGAGAGACTTTTGCTTTGTGGCTCAATGCTGGTAAGAGGGTGAAGTAGCGTTGTCGCTTAAAGGTCATATGAGTCTCTGCATTAACGGTGCCCCCTGTGAGTTTCTTGCAGTCGAGATGTCGGTTGGTCGTTAGTTGGTGGCGCGGTCTCACCAGGGGTGGCTGTAAGTGGTTAGCCTTTTTTTTTTGCTTGATTGCTGTAGTAGTGGCTTGTTGCCTGCCATAATAGACGTCGGACCAGCTTGTTCCCGGCGGTCTCTTTGCTCCCCTCAGGATCGTGGAAAGGGCATACCCTCCTTCTGTCCGCCGCCATTTTAGTTGAGGCGTTTGGGCCACGAGGCTGGGTGGCAGTGCTGTTGGCCCCCGGGTTGTGCTGCTTCGGTCTGGGTCCCAGGGTGCGGACCGGGATCACCCCCACCGGTCCAGGGGGGGGGGACAGGGCCAGATCCACCCGGCTGCCGTCCTCTGGTTGGGTCTGTTAGGCAGGATAGTGGAGCAGCGGCCGTCCGCCCCACTCACTGCCGGAGTAGGCCCAAATTAGGGTATCAAGGGTCTCTCCTCCTGGGGACTGTAGCTTGAGGAGCCAGCCTCACCCTGGATCCAGTGTCCCCTGTACACTGAGGACAGGCGCTGGCAGTCCTTGGTATGGTTAAAAACGTTCTTTTTGTGGCTATTTAGTTATTAATTTGTAGGAGCTGAGCTGCCATGCTGCCTTCCAGCTCGGCGGTCCGGCCCCGCCCCCAAAAGGGCTTTAATTTGATGTGACACATACATATATAAATTTTCATTTATTACCAAAAAATGCAAAATAATGTGGGGGAAAAAAAACGCTTTTTTCCCCAAGTTTTGGCAATAATAATGTGTGCATAATATGTCCAGCATAGGAAAAGTAATTCAAAATCAATTAATTTATGTCTCTTGATTTACAAAGTGCATAATATGTGTAGGATTTCAGTTTATTTTGAAAGTTACAGGTCACAAACTACAAGGTCTAAAATACAATTTCAATGTGAAACAATTTTAGAAGTTGGTATATTTGTCTTGGAAGTTTAATACCATTACAGGAAACAAAATTGCCACACAAAAGTATATATTTATATAAAGTAGACATCACAGGCTATTTACCTAAGGGTAGTTTGACACTTTTTGCGTAGCCATTTCACCGCCAATCTCTGCTAAATATTGAAGCAACATTTTATTTTTTCTGTATTTTGGCATATACACATATAACAAGGTTTTTGTAATGTGTATTTCGTAAACCTAGTGTGTGCTATCCATGTACGTATTGTGTTCAGCTACATCTGCTGAGTATAACGATACCCCCATTGTATACCTTTGCCCCTATTCTATGAAATTACAATGCCATATAGGAGACCAGGCTATTTCAGTTTCTATAGTTGGAATTTTCATAGATGGTCATGTAAGGAAATCAAGTATAGCTGAACCGCTTTGACAATTCCTCCTGCAATGCCAGCGTCTAAGGTAGCTCTTAGCAATGAAGTCCATAAGAAATATAACAGCTTCCCAAGATAATCCCCTTGGTAAAGCATACGAATTCCCAAATAACAGTCAGAGTCCAGAATCAGGATACAAGTAGATCTGAGGTCTGGAATCTCCAGCCTGCTTTTTATTAGGGTTACAGACAAGAAATACACACCCAGGGGGAGGCATTAAATCACCAATCAGGTATAGGTTATATAGGTCCCTCCCCTCTGATAAACAGTTAACTTCATTAAAACGTGCACTATTTTACCCCAGTTCTGGATGTACCCCAAAAACAGGGGGTACACCTTTAAATTGGGCACCGCTGGATAGTTCTCATTTGTGGGGACAACATGTCAAAAAATCAGTCCATTTGGATGAATGGTTCGGGAGTTATGGAGCACTAAAGTTTTGACCGACCGCACGGATCATCTAGCCGAAAATAGTTCCATAAGTTTTGGCCCTGCGGTCGGTCTCCGTTTAGGCGAATAAAAGAGACGAAAGCCCTGCCATCCGTTCGCATCTTCGTGGTCGTTGAAATCCCCATACGAAGTTGCATGTAACTACCGAACGGCCGGTGATTCGGTCTTTCCCGTGCGAAGTTCTGGATGTATGGAGGTCTCAGCGGTGTTCGCCTGTTTGCGTATCCGATTTTAGTTCCACGCGTTTGACGGGCAAACACCGCTGTTCGCACGTAAAATGGCCGCGGCCACGTGTAAAGTGCCGAAATGGCGGCCACCTAGATTTTACACGGGGAATTCGCCTGAATCCATCCGAAGGGTAGAAATTAAAACTATATGCCGAATTCCAGCTGAATTGGGTGAATTAACTGCACAACAAAGGTAGAAATCCTGATGAACGGAGTCATTTCTTCACACTGCTCCCCTATAAGTCCATAGGTCGGCATACCCGCCTAGACCCTGTCGGGTTGGCTTGGGGATGTCCGATGAAAGTACGCTTTTAGGTGTCCAGTTCGGTCTGGCGGGACAGACCATCCGCATTCCCATTTTGTTTACCTGGACGGTACTGCATGGTAAAATTATATGGTTGGAGAGCTAAGCTCCACCGGAGTAGCCTGGGGTTGTCACCAGCTACCCGGTTGAGCCATACCAGGGGGTTGTGGTCGGTCATAAGGGTAAACGCTCGCCCATACAGATAGGGCTGAAGTTTCTTGAGGGCCCACACGAGGGCCAAGCACTCTTTTTCTACGGTGGCATAGCTGACTTCTCGGGGCAAAAGTTTACAGCTGAGGTATGCCACCGGGTGTTCCATGCCATCCACCCCCACCTGGCTTAGTACGGCTCCCAGCCCAAACATGGAGGCATCTGTGTGGACAAGAAATTGTTTAGTGTAATCGGGTGCTGCCAACACAGGGGCCTCACTCAATGCCGCTTTGAGCTTCTGGAAAGCGTCCGTGCACTCTGGGGTCCCGGAGACCTGTTTGGGAAGGGCCTTTTTGGTAAGGTCCGTGAGGGGCTTGGCCAGGGCGCTATATTCTGGGACGAACTTTCTATAATACCCGGCTGTCCCTAAGAAAGCCAGTACCTGGGTTTTGGTCCGGGGTTGGGGCCAGTTAGCTATGGCCTCTACCTTAGCGGGCTCTGGGCGTTGTCTACCGGAGCCGACCCGGTGGCCTAGATACTGGACCTCGGCTAGGCCTACGTGACATTTGTCGGGTTTCAAAGTGAGCCCGGCGAGGTGGATTCGTTCGAGTACCCTGGACACATGACCCAGATGGTCTCCCCATGTGCGGCTATAGATGGCAATATCATCTAGGTATGCACATGCGAAGTCCTGCAACCCCTCCAGGAGCCTATCCGCCATCCGCTGAAACGTAGCCGGGGCGTTCTTCATCCCAAAGGGCATAACCTTGAATTGGTATAGCCCAAACGGGGTGACGAACGCCGACTTGGGGATGGCCGCAGGCTCCAGGGGGATCTGCCAATAACCCTTGCACAGGTCCAGGGTAGTCAAGTAGTTCCCCCCCGCCATTCGATCTAAGAGCTCATCTATTCTAGGCATGGGGTAGGCATCGGTTATGGTACGGTCGTTAAGCCTCCGGTAATCTACGCAGAAGCGCGTAGTGCCGTCGCGCTTTGGTACTAGTACCACCGGGGAGGCCCAAGGACTTTGGGAGGGTTCTATTACCCCTAGCCGTAACATATCCCTTAACTTGGTGAGCATACTCTCACGTACTGCTTCCGGGATCCGATATGGCTGTTGCCGTAGGGGCATCTCTCCCTGGGTTTCCACACGGTGGACCGCAGCGGAGGTATAGCCGGGGGTAGCGGAAAACATCTCTCGGTATCCCTGCAGCAGTTGAGTAGCCTCACCTTTCTCCAGGAGGTCTAAATTTTGACCCAAGCTTACTTGGTCAATAGTACAGGGGGTGGTATCCAGTAAGTCAGGAAGGGGTAGCCCTTCACTATCCTCTGTGGCGAGGGCGCACACGGCGCCCACCTCCTCTGTTCTTTCAAAATATGGTTTGAGCATGTTCACATGGAAGGCTTTGGTCAGCCTTTCATCTGAGCATTTGCTCACGATGTAGGTAGTCTCGCTAACCTGTTCCACTACCTTAAAGGGTCCCTGCCAGGCTGCTTGTCCTTTTTAACGGGCCTCAGAGCCAGTACCTTCTGCCCTAAGTCCAGCACTCTATCCTGGGCCCTCCTATCGTACCACTTTTTCTGGTCCTCCTGGGCCGCCTGCAGGTTCTCCCGAACCGATTCGGTGAGGGCCCGCAGACGGTCCCGGAACTCCAGGACATACTGGACGATAGG